ATCAGTTCAAACCTTGTAGAAATCTAGAGAGCATGCGTATTTATGTCCCTTTATGTGTACGTAAATATACGAAAACAGCAGATAAAGTTCAGTGGTCAGAACAGAACATCCGACCCAGGTCAGCAAGGTTTAGTGAAAATGACCACTCCTATTTTTTATGTATGACAATAGCTCCGGATTCGCAATTTCAGACACACGTCTGGTCAGGCTGATGACTTTTTCGTCTCCATGCGAGAGAAAATTTGGAATAGGATATGAAAAACGCGGTGGTAATTGGAACTATAACAAGAAAATACCAATTCAATGCTCCTCATCAGACACACATGCCCTTGAAATTGAAAACTACACAAAAAGAGACCTTGAAGACCAACAGTTCTTCGTATAAACTTGAGACTGACAAAAAGTTCGCGAAACTGATGACTGGCTCTAGGCTGGTGGCAAGGATCAAAATTGATGGCGAGTCGTAGACCGAACCATCCAACTCGCAGAATAAGATTAGTTTAATTGTTTTTCTACCGGCGCTACCATCACAAGTAGTCGGCTTAAAATAAGCCTTGCGGACGTCAGCCGCAGAGATGCACGAAGAAAAGGGGCTGCTGCAATGCGCCGGCAATAGGCCTGCGACCAATCTGTTGCCAAGGTCACTGACGCGTCGAGCCTCGTGTACACGACGGGGCCTTGGTCTGGTGTTGCGACTAGATCGGAGCAGATCCACACAGTCTGGCACAGCCACAGTTAACTCTGCTCCATACTTCATACAAGCTAAAATGGCCAAATGTGCTTTTGACTTTTTAATCTTGTGTCTACTTACGAATGTGTCTTCATGTACTCATGCAATGTGTGCATGTGTGCATAGGGGCAGTGCAATTTGGCGTGCCTGCGTGCATGCATGTTAGTGTTAGTGTATTTGTGCTCTGGCTTGTGTCTGTGCCGCCAATGTGCACCTGGCTTTGCCTAGGCGACGTAGCCGTAGCGGCAATTCTGTAGTCGAGCTGTGATGACAACGAACTCGAATCAATGAATCGATAGGTGAGCTGACAGAGTGAGCCTGGCGTAGGTTGTCGAGACGAAATAGGCGAGTGGCCTTAGACGAGAAATGTCTGTGTTTTTGCAGCAGAAAAACCGAGGCCACACGACCCCTTCCAGCACACACGAGGCCAGGCGGGAGGTGGACCGAGGAAGTTGGGGTCATCGCGATGCTGGCGCGCTTTTGGTCCGTCTGAAGAGGGCGAGGCGACAAACGGGCGAGCAGGTGACGGTGACGCCGAAGATAGCAACACGGTCAGCTCCTGCTATCGCCCCGGTTGCGACAGACATTTCGCCGAGCCCGCAGAGGGCCGCCACCTCGGACCAATGATGCATCGGCCATTCACTGGCAAATGCTCTGGCGACACGAGGAACTGGGACCGAATCGGTAGTGGAGCCAACCACCTCGGACTTTCGACCTGGCGGGCTACATTTCGGGCCTTGATTTACCGAATAGCCGGTCTCAGGGGAGTTGGAACGCTGTGCGCCGGGCCACAGACAAAGTCTTACCGCCAGACGACAATTTAGCAGACTCAAGTAGCATCCAGCGTATCAAACTGGCCCCCGCTCGCAAAGTTCAAGATCTCTGATTTAGTGGCTACCTGGTCTCCCCA